CCTGGAACAGCTGAGCGGTCCTGAAATGTCACTTCTATCCGACTCTGTGACTGAGATCTAACATTCCATCCCACTCACAAAGTCGGATAGAAGGGACATTTCAGGACCGATCAGCTGTTCCAGGCATCGCAAATCGCATGTTCTCCTGCACATATAATTTGCGATGCCGATCTGCCCTGGAACAGCTGAGAAAGCGTTGGAATTCTTCACCTATTGGCGGTCACACATTCCACCGCCGAAAAACGGGGCGGGATTACGTTAAAATGTGTGACCACGTCACCGGTCACACATTCTAACATAGTCACAAACTTTGATTGAACAGAGGCCCAGTTTGTAATCAGAGAAATAGATTATAATGGGGAACATTACAGTGTAATGTTCCCCACTATAATCCACTTTTCTAATGAAATGAAATGACAGCACACAACCCTCGGCTCCCCCGCAGCTCGGATTCACCCAGCCAGGATCGCAGCAGCCAGAAGGTGTCGGTGTGTGCACTGCAGGGGGCGGGGGCGTGTGACACACATCTCTTCTCCTCTCCCGCAGCCTGTTACAACACCGGGATCCTGCACTGCCCCATATTCCACCGGTGGGGGTGCTCCCCCACAGCCTCAGGCCCCGGTGTGCCGGCTCTAACTATGATGATTAGTGAAAATCACTTACCTCATAGATCTCCTTTAAGTTTTAAAAATCCCAGAGTTTTTTTTTTACTTCCTCCCAGCCGGCCATTGTGATAAAAAAAGGCCGGCGGGGAGCTCTCTAGATCTGAGTGCGCATCTTTAGACGTCCGCTCAGCCACGCCCACTCGCACGTTTTGTGCGGCGCGAGCGGGAAAGACCGACATTTTTTTAAACAGACAGCGATGCCTGTTAACATACAAGCGATCTGGCCGGCTATGGAGCTGGACGGATCGCTTGTATAAGCTTCCGGATTACCCCTCCCTCCGCGGCCCCCCCTCCCGCTGTCACGCTGGTCCCGGGCTCCGCTGTGGCTGGTGCGAGCCCGGGACCAGCATAGTGCATCTGTCTCTGTACCCTCTCCGGTGTATATTACATCACTTCCGCATTCTTGTGAGCCGATCTCTGCTTCATCAGCTTCTTCGGGGGATTCTAGGTGACATTAGGGGTCTTGGAGACCCCTGATGTCTCCATAAAGAGGACCTGTCACATCTCTTTGCTGTCACATAGGGGGTTTCTTAGCCCCCTATGTGATAGCAATAAAGTTAAGTGAGAAAAAAAATAGGAAACAAAATGAAAGTTTCCCCAAAACATTTTTAAGGTTACACATAAAGAAAGAATAAAAAAAACACAATTTTTTAAAAAGTCCGCACCCATACATACACGCATGCAAACATGCGTCGGATGCGCATACCTGCGAAAATTACGATTGCGCCCATTACGCCGCACATGTTACATATCGCCGCAAAAAACGTTGCAGTGAGAGCAATAATTTTGTATTCACGCCATACAACCGATCAGCGGCTATAGAGCCGCTGATCGGTTGTATGTGAAACAGCCGTTAACGGCTGTAGTAACAAGCGGGTCTTTCCTGCCCGTGCGCGCGCGCTAGGGGGCGCGCGCGAGCAGGAAAAAAATGCCGTCTGACGACGGCAACCCGCAGATAGGAGTCAGCCGTCCGTCCGTTTTTTTCTTAACGGGCGGATGGCAAGAGGTTAAAGCGTCGCCTATGGTCAATTTTGGGTATGGTAGTTTTTTGCAATTTGCGCGCAATTTTTAAGCTTGACATGTTTGGTGTCTATTAACAATTGTTTCCTAATATAATGGGGGGAAAAAACTTCTTTTTTTTTTCAAAATGTTCAGTAATTTTTCCTAAATATAGTAAAAAATAAAACCCCCCCAGTGGTGATTAAATACCACCAAAACAAAGCTCTATCTGTCCCCAAAAAATGGTATAAAATGTATTTCAGTACAATGTTGCATGACGGAATAAATGTCAGTCAAAGTACCGCAGCGCTGAAAAATGGCCTGGGCAGGAAGGGGGTGTAACACCGCGGTCAGCAAGCGGTTAATATCACTACTAAAAACATTGGAGCAGCTGTTTACCAGCACGTAATAAAAGAAATATGAAAGCAAAATCATATTGCCAAGCATTCCAGGAATAGTACCGAAGGCTATGATATTTTTCTGTCCATCTTTTGCTTTTGCAGGAACGTTGACTTTGATGGGACTACCATCGGGTATGCATACATGAGTGCGATGTGTGACGCTTTGTCTGCTGCAATTATCCAGGTAAAACAGACAAGACATAAAGGGGTTAATTCACTGAAGCATAACATAAAAGGAGTCTTTATTACCAAAACATTCATTAAAGGAGAACTATGGGGTTAAGGCTTTTCCCCATAGTTCTCCTTAGGGTAACGGGAGGACATAAACTAGCGTCCCCCCCCCCCCCCCCTCCCCCCGTTACCCAAAGCTCAGTATACCGCTAGCTACAGTTCGCGGTATACTGAGACCGCCGCAGCCGGATCCCGACATTAGTGCCCATTCACACTGAGCGATAAATCCTGCGATATCGCAAGAAGTCGCCGTCCAATGATTTTCAATGGAGCTGTTCTAATGTACAACTCCATGTTGCCCGTCGCTTGAGCAGGGCCCTTTTTCCCGCGGATGTCGCGCAATTTTTCTATTTTTGAATGCAGCCCGACGGTGAAGGTCGCTGGAACGTCGCCCTATCCCGCCGCGCAGGAAATCCGCTCGAAGTGAGTGTCGCTCAGTGTGAACGGGGCCTTACTGTCGAGATCCACCCAGCTGCGTGACTGACAGCTGGCTCCGCCTATCTAGAGGCAGAGCCAGCTGTGCCCGCCCCCTCCCCCATCCGTTCCGCCAGTCAGCGCTGGAGGATTGGAGCGGGGAGGGGGGGAAAACGCGCAGGGAGCCGTGAGTGACAGTCACGGCTCTATGCACGGATAGATCGAGAAGTGAGCGAGCGATGGTATGTGTTCGCTCACTTCACAATCTATTGAGCCGACCTGTGATAGTCTCATTGTCACACGTCGGCTCGAACTATGAGGCTGAGTGAAAATCACTCACCTCATAGTTCTCCTTTAAGATCGAATAAGATGTTTTATATCAAGGAGAGCATAGAACAGAGCAGAGCTGCATTGAGGAAGACGCACAGTGCTGGCGCAAGGAAAGCCAAACACTTTGAATGGGCGTTGGGAGAGGGCGCCTCATCTTAAACTAAAAGTTACCTTGTGCTTTAGAACCTTCAAACTAGTTGTGTTTGAGTTATTTTGCTACTTTACTGGTCCCAGAGAATCAAAGTTGCTGGAGCAAACAGACCGAGGCCAAAAGAGTGAAAAGCAAAGCCAGCGTGTACTGTAGAAGCACTGAAAGTTCTGTCATAAGTCCAGTCTGCATGTATCGCCGTTAAGCTGACCATATACTGTTCGAATTTCAGCCAAGCTCGGCTGACTTAGCCAAAATTTGAGCAGTGTGCCGCCCCAGTCAGTTGACTTTGACCAATTTTTTCTAGAGAAAACAGTGACTGAAACCAGCTATGCAGTGGTGGCATTCACAGGTTCTGTCAAGGGATCTATGAATGGATGACATGGCTGTGTGGAGGGAGCCACAAACAGCTGCGCCAGATTTGAAAAATAGCAGCAGCCTCTGGGAAGAACCTCACAATTAAGGTAAGTGGGGGTGAGAGGAGGGCATCTGATGTCCCAATTTTTCATGTTACACCCTGAATATAAGGGATGCGCCGATACTGGTTTTTCGATATCAAACACGAGCACCGATATTTTAAAAAAAATTCTCATTGATACCTAATAACGACACCGGAAGTCCCATTAAGGAAGCTAGGTGGCGTGTAATGACTCGCCACCTGGTTTCCCGATCAGCATGGAAACCGCCTCCGTGCTCCCTCGTAACCAGGTGACGAGGATGGCCAATCAGGAAGCTCGGCGCTGTGTAATGACACGCTGCCCGGCTTCCTGATTGGCCGGCTCCATGCTCCCTCGCCACAAGTGATGAAGGAGCATGGCGACGGCTTCCCAGCCAATCAGGGAGCCGGGCAGCATGTAATGGCTCGCTGCCCGTCTTCCTATTACCGGATGCTCTAGTAGCGGGCTAGGCATCGGAGCATTTGGGCGAGTACAAATACTCGCCACCGATACCAATACTAGAATTGGTATCGATGCATTCTTACTGAATATGGTATAAAAGGTACACGTTGCATTTAAATGCCACAGAGGCATTCCATTTAATGCAGGGACCCTACTTATACGTCCCTTGTCTTCCCTCCTCTCTGCCCAGTCACTGAACCCCTTTTAATCCACCTAAAGTACACCTGAGCCCAAGTCTATGGACATTTACCTTTTGACACCTTTTGACATCTTAACAAATAGTAAAAGAGCTTTCAACGAAAACCCCACTCACCTCTCTAGCTGCTGTGAAGTTACTCATTGTCAAAGATCTACAAAACTCACAACAAAGACTTTAACCCTTCACTGCCAGCAATGTATGCTGTACGTTGTAGCAGCAGGCCCATTTAAACAGACTCCCAGCGGCTATAGCCACTAGGACTCTGTACAGCCGTGTAAAGCCGATGCTTCCAGGGACCAGTAAAGCATGCCTTCCCGCCAACCAGAACCGGCATCACAGGTGGGGAGAGAGACCAGAGAACATCCATTTTTCGATCTAAATGGAGCCAGAAAGCGACGCTAATTGCATCACTTTCGGTTCCTCAGCTGTCATTCTTCAGCTAGAGAACCTGGAGAAGAAGATTTTCGAGATCAATCTGCTCTGGAATAGCTTTAGTGATCTCACGGCTGGCTCCGCCCAGTTGTAATGACAGATCAGCGTCCCCAAATGACATGGGGACGCTGATCTGTCATTAAACAATAACAACTGGGCGGAGCCATCTGTGACATCACGGCCAGCTCCACCCAGTTGTTATCTATTGGCCGGGACCTGCTAGAAGACTCTGGCAGGTGACGGCCAGCAGGAAAAAGTTGGGCGGAGCTAGCGGTGATGTCACTGCTAGCTCTACTTAATTGTTTTTATTTTGCCGGCATCTGCCAGATACTTCATTATGCGGCGGGAGTTTGTCGCGTGCGGTCGGGTTGGCGTGCGTCATTTTTTTTTTATAATTTTTTAATTTTCTTTAAAATATATATATACTTTTTTTCCTATTCATTTAACTTATTTTCTATTTTACTCTCCGAGGTAGCGAGCAGAATAGCCAAACCGATTGCCGCTCGGCAGCATTTGGCTATTCACTTACTGGTGTTCGGCCCCTATGTGAATAGGGGCGAACGGCAGCGAGTGAACTGCCGAAGCTTCGGCTCAGCAGTTCCAGATGTTGGGTCGGCTTCACATAGGGGCGAACGGCAGCGAGTGAACTGCCGAAGCTTCGGCTCAGCAGTTCCAGATGTTGGGTCGGCTGAGTCGAACTCCTGCACTTCGGCTCAGCCGAACATGCAGATCATGGTCGGCTGAGCAAAGGCAGCCGATGTATGGCTGATTTTAGCTGATGTATGGCTGAAATCGGCCGCACTGAGCCGGAGTGAATAGCTGAACAGCGTTCCGCTCACTTCACTTCGGCTCGGTTATTCACTCGGCTCCCTGTGGCAGCTAAGTAAATAAGGATACATATAAACGAACAGGGGAGAAGGAGTTTCGCAATAAGTAACACGTTTACAAACTATATGAATTCAGCTCCTGGGTTTCAAAACATATCATCTCCTAATGGGGGATTTCTTTGCTAAGGGGATAGTGTTGTCTTGATAAATAAGGATACAGTCCGTGTACCCATCGCACTCAGAGCCGCTGCTCCAAAAATGGAAGGTGGGTGCAGCAGGTGTCAGCGGGTGGCTTCCGACAAAATAAAAGTAAAGGATGGACACTGGCACTCCAAAGCAAGTTCAGTACATGTTTATTAACGTACTAGTTGCAAATACTCTAGTTGAGAACCACTGGTTTAGAGTGTTCTACTTGCAACTAGTACGTTAATAAACACGTACTGAACTTGCTTTGCAGTGCCGGAGTCCATCCTTTACTTAGCTAAGTGAATAACCCCCTTAGTGATACAGTTTTGTCAAATATATGGTGTTTGCACTGACATTTCCAAGCCAGAGATTAGGCAGTAATGACATGTTATTACATAATTGGTGATCACAAGAGGCGTGATGGCAGAAGGTTAGGTAATGGATTACATTTTGAGGATGATTTTATTACAATAAATGCATTAAATGACATTATCATATAACTTGAATTCACATTTCTCTCAAAGCATCTTATGGTTTGCACCCATTTCCCTTTCTCAGGATGCGTTCGTGGTTGCAGCTGGTGTTGGAGCAACAATAGCTCACGAGATGGGACATAATCTGGGGATGGGTCATGACAGACCCGGCTGCACATGTGAAGCCAATTCCTGCATGATGGCTCCAGCTATCAGGTACATAATATGTCACGGTCTATATGTGTGTGTGCCTGACCAGCTATAATTCACTTGGTGTTTTTATGTGTTGCACTTGTATATGATCAGTATTCTCAGTAATGTTTATGGGATGTTATTGCCGTAAAAGTGAATGAAAAATAATGTCTGTAATAAAATACAGGTCCGCAAAGGGAGGTGTTAAGGGCATCGAATGTGAAAGAATTGTAGAGTTTGCCATTGCTTACCTAATTGTATTTCTCTGCATCCAGTCTTGAGATGTACACAGCTCTGCCCCACAGCACATTCCTATCAGGCAGAGCAGGAGACCTGATTTTTCTTTATGGTAGCTAAGTGACAGTTATGGGTCTTGTGCCTCCTCCAGCCTATGACTGGACACAGAAAGGAGGAGCAGCAGATTGAGTTCATCTCTATGTAATTCTGATCCCTCCACCTGTCAGCATGCTCCTTGTTACCTCATTACCACTGCAACACTTCTGATTGGCAGCTAGAGCAGACCCTCCTTGTATAGTTTGTCCCCCTGTTACTTCGGTTTTGCTGTAAAGAGACTGCAGGAGGCTGATACCAAGTCAAATTCAGGTACTTACACTGCTTACATTAAAAACACATATTTACTGATTTATTAAAGGAGAACTATGGGGTCAGGACTTGTCCCAATAGTTCTCCTTAGGGTAACGGGAGGACACAAACTAGTGTCCTCCCATCACCCAAAGCTCAGTATACCGCGAGCTACAGCTCGCGGTATACTGAGACGCCGCAGCATTACTGAGACGCCGCACCCAACATTACTGTCGAGATCCACCCAGCTGCGTGAGTGACAGCTGGCTCGGTGTATCTAGAGGCAGAGCCAGCTGTGCCCGCCCCGTCCGTTCCGCCAGTCGGCGCTGGAGGTTCGGACAGGGGAGGGGGGAATCCCTGCAGGGAGCCGTGAGTGACAGTCACGGCTCTCTGCAGGGGCAGGATCGAGAAATGAGCGAGCGACGGTATGTGTTCGCTCACTTCCCGATCTATTGAGCCGACCTGTGACAGTTTCATTGTCACACGTCGGCTCGAATCTATGAGGCTGAGTGATTTTCACTCGCCTCATAGTTCTCCTTAAATGAATACAGAGCTACAATGATTTGTAGGAATGCACCGAAACGTCAGCGGAAACAGTGTCATCGTTCATCCGAAATTGTGGTGCATCCATGCTTTCTCTCTTCCCAACTGTGTGCTGCTCTGTGTTCCCTCTGACACAGCGCAGCGTCCAGCGGGGAGGAGAGAAACTGTCACAGCAGGCCGAGCGGTGCGGGGGATGAGATCAATGTGAGCGGCCAGCGTGTCACAGAAGGCCGGCCTCTCCTCCCATACTGCTGCACTCAGCCTCCTGTGACAGCTGTCACAGGAGGCCGGGGCAGCAGTGTGGGAGAGGAGCCAGCTGTCAGAGGAGATCGAGCTCTCCTCCACGCACCGCTAGCTCAGCCTCCTGTGACAGCGAGTCAGGATGGAGAGCGGGTACAAGCAGTCAGTGATCAGTGAGTGTCTGTAAAGAATTGAGGACATAGTGTTTTTTACTGTGTCCCCAATTATGAATGAATGGGAAGTGTTCTTCTATATCACCTCCTGTTCATTCATAGTTGTAGTTATAGTAAACATATTCTGTCCTCATGTTATGAATGGACAGGAACACTCAGTATAGAGCAGGGGCGCCCACTATTTTTCGTCTGGAGATCTACTTTTAAATGACGAGCTCATTGAGATCTACCAACGAAAAAACACCTGCATTCAGGGGCGGGAGGGGGCGTAGGCTGCGCAGGCAGTCCCCTCGCCCACAGTGCGATCGCCTGCATTAGTGCCTGTGTTCCAGTCCAGTGCGATCCGCAAAAATGCTGCGAGCACTATTTTTGCACATCACACTGGACCGGAATGCAGGCACTAATGTGCCTGCGTTCCGAGTGCGGGCGATCGCACTGTGGGCGATGCCATTGACTTCAATACAGCTCCACACCCCCTCCCGCACCGGAACGCAGGGAGTCGGCCTGCTTACATTCCAGTGCATTCCAGTACATTACATGTCCCGGCGTCCTGTCCTCCCGTGGTGCTCGTGTGGCCGACGTTGCACATGGGGTGTTCTGCACCTTTCCATCTGCAGCGTCTGACACATTCAGCCGGCAGCCGCACGAGCACCACGGGAGCATAGCCGTAGCCAGCTCCTTTTGCGCCTGAGGCAAGGAAAAAAAACTAAGTTTTTTAAATTTATTTTTTACTATTTTTTAATTTATTTTCATTATTTATTTGTATTTATTTGAAATTTTCATTTTTTTTTTACTCTTGGGGGAGGGGGGGGGGCTTCGGGGAAATATTAGGGGTCTAAAAAGCCCCCTGATATTTCCCTTTTAAAATAGAAAAAGAAATTGAGGACACATTGCTGGCATTTGTTGTATTCCTATATAGCTGGTGGTATTCTGCATTGAGCTGTATAATCATTATACAGCGCAATGCAGAATACCGCCCGCAATATAGGAATACAAAAAATCATTATACAGCACAACGCAGAACAACACCAGCCACAGAGGACTACAAATCCCAGCAATAATACATTATAGTATAATGTACTATTGCTGCAATTTGCTGTATTCCTCTATAGCTGCTGGTATTCTGCATTGCGCTGTATAATCATTATACAGCACACTGCAGAATACCACCAGCTAGAGGACTACAAATCCCAGCAATAGAACATTATACAGCGCAACGCAGAATACCACCACCTAGAGGACTACAAATCCCACAATAGAACATTATACAGCACACTGCAGAATACCACCAGCTAGAGGACTACAAATCCCAGCAATAGAACATTATACAGCGCAACGCAGAATACCACCACCTAGAGGACTACAAATCCCACAATAGAACATTATACAGCGCAACGCAGAATACCACCACCTAGAGGACTACAAATCCCAGCAATAGTACACTATACAGCGCAATGCAGAACAACACCAGCTACAGAGGACTACAAATGCCAGCAATAGAACATTATAATATAATTTACTATTGCTGCGATTTGCTGTATTCCTCTATAGCTGCTGGTATTCTGCATTGTGCCGTATAATCACACTACGTTTGAAGTCACCCGACGCCCAGAACATGGAGTGCCGGGCGGTAATTTGTTTTCTACATTTAGCCCTGCTTTGCACAACCAGGGCTAAATGAAGAATGGGGGAAGCCGCTTGTTTCTTTACAAGTGATCTTGGCGATGTCGCCAAGATCACTTGTAATAACACTTCAGGCTGTCCGTCCTCCCCCCGCCGCACCATGATGGCCCACCATGAACTCTAGAGTACCTGGATTACTTACACCTCTTGTGGTTAAGATGTAGGTTCAATGGTCATGTTTATATTGGTTGGAAATGAAAAAGTTAGAAAATAAAAACCTGCAACATATCTGATTCTACTGTACTATGTACTCATCAATCTCATTCTCTCTCTTTTATTATAATGACAGCAATGACATTCCGCTCCTATTCAGCTGCTGCAGCATAAGTGACATGAGTAGGTTTATCTATGATAAATACCCGGATTGCATGCTGGACATACCAGTCTTAACAGAGATCTTGACTCCACCCATTTGTGGTAATAGATTTACTGAAATCGGGGAGGAGTGTGACTGCGGAGAACCAGAGGTAACTAGAAGAATTATATCAGCATATGGTAACTGTACAAAGAGTGTGCTGGAGAGACACAGCTAGATATCCCAGCATTTTCATTCAGTGCATTAAAATTTGAGTAAAGATGACTATAGACTTGTTGTTGCTAAATAAGACAAATGTCTATAACTTGAGAAAGACTGATCATACAGGTCCAAAAACCTTGTGTGATAGCTATTCTTTCACCTCAGGTAAGGTGACACTGCTACTGTCTACTTGTTCTATCAGGGGTCTCAAAGTACCAGCCCACGTGCCAACTCCAGCCCACGTGCCTGTACTATGTGGCCCGCAGCCAGCTGGCAAGTCAGGCACATGGTCACGGACCGCGTTTTTGACTTGCGGGAGCAGCTACACGGTCTGCATCTCTGTCGGATGCAGACTGGAGAGCTGCTCCTGTCATCTCCGGCCAGAGCTCTGACAGTTCTGAGCTCCAGCTGAACAATGATTAGTAAGGTCTGCACTAGACCTTACTAATCATCACTGGATCACCGGGGGAAGGATGATGTGCCTCCTCCCTGCAAAGATGCAAGCATTTGAGGGGGCTAGGAAGGGGCGAGCTTTATTAATATGTGTACTAGGGGCTTGGGTGGGAAGTTTATTATGTGTGCGGGGGCTTGGCAGGGTGGCCATGTGTTTGTATATTAGGCCCCATTCACACCTATATTTCAGGTGCGATTAAGGATTGCTGTGTCACAAACTTGCGTTTTCCTGCAGCAGGAATCCCTAATCTGGCGTTTACATGCAGCAACTGTCACCCATTCAAGTCAATGATCGGGTGACAGCCGCTGCATGTACACGCCTGCACACCGCATGTAATATGATTACATGCCGTTACAAAAACAATCACTATCCCTGGATACACAATTGATTCCTAACTGCATGTAATCCTTTCACATATGATAACATGCGGTGTGTAGGTTTGTACATGCAGCAGCTGTCACCCGATCAATAACTTGAATAGGTGACAGTTGCCGCTTGTAACATATGCACCGGCACTACATTTTTAAACTGAAGCAGCTGCGGACCTTGGCAGCCTTCCGGTTAACCACATGGTGCATATGGCAATGGGGGGTTGGGGGGGGGGCCCTTCATGGTTTCTTGCACCGGGGCACTGAAGGTTCTAGTTATGCCTCTGTCACCAGCAACATATACACTGTTTCACCATCTCGTGGAGTCAATGCCAAGAAGAATCGTCGCAGTATTGAAGGCAAAAGGTGGCCCAACGAAGTACTGATGGGGTGGTCATAATAAACTGGCCACTCAGTGTAAATTGGCAACATAGACATGCAGTTTAAAAGCACTACATGTACATGTGTTTAGTTCTACACTCAGATGATATTTTTTGTTTCTTAAAGATATGTACAGATGTGTGTTGTGATCCATACACCTGCAAACTTAAGCCAGGATATGAGTGTAGTGATGGACCTTGTTGTCGCAAATGTATGGTAAGTGAATGGCTTTGTTGCAAAATAAGATATGTTTTTAATCATCATTCAAGTACTTGTAAGTCATCCCACAACCCCCTGCCTGACTACACAGCATATAGAATATTTCACAGCTATCTTACTTCAACTGTATTCCAACTTATTTTACCGTTCGATACTGTCCCTGCAGAGAGCTGTGACTGTCACTCACGGCTCCCTGCAGGGATTCCCCCCCGTCCGATCCTCCAGCGCTGACTGGCGGAACGGACAGGGAAAGGGGCGGGTACAGCTGGCTCTACATAGGCAGAGCCAGCTGTCGCTCATGCAGCTGGGTGGATCCAGACAGTAATGTCGGGATCCGTCCCGACTGCGGCGTCTCAGTATACCGCGAGTTGTAGCTCGCGGTATACTGAGCTTTCTCCTTTAAGGCCTGATTCACACCTAGGCAGCACAGTTTTTGCGCGTTTTTACGCACGTTAGCAGCATTTGGTTATTTGCAAGTTGTGCACATTTTTATTGCGTGCTTTAACACGCGTACATGAAGACACGCATTTTCACTGGCAGCTCATAAAACATTGCGGGCAATGGAAGAACGTGCTTTTAAATGCACGAAAAGCTGCCCAAAGAAGCTCTTGTACCTTTTTTGGGCGTTTTGCGTTTTCCTGCTGGAGTTTTTCTGCTCAGGTGTGAACCAGGGCCATTGAAAATCTTGTGTTGGGCATTTAAAGTGCTTTTCGAACTGCTCAAAAACTCCTAGGTGTGAACCAGGCCTAAAATGAAAGCAAATACTGTACATATAAGTACTTCACCCTTGCATCACTTTGGTACTTGGTTTAATTACAGATTTGGCATGTTCTCCCTGTCTTGATCTGCAAGGGCTGAGGGACGTCCTCTTTCTGGAAATCAATGAACGAAGCAGGTTGTCCCACCATCCCTCCCTGAATTTTGTAGTATGGGGGTTGTAGGGTTCTTTTGTCACTTGGGGGTTTGGGGGTCTACAAAAATCGGAGTGGATTACAAAATGGGGGGCCATCAGCTGGTATGGTTGCTTCCCCCCTGTTGGTGTCCAGAATTGTAAGGGGCGGGGCATGGCCCCTTAGGAACCTGAAAGTAGTAAATGTCCTCGAGCTGGTTGTGGTGCGGCTGGGGACATGGGTGGAGTGTTAGGAGAGGCCTTTTTGGGTTGTTGGGCACCCAAAGACCCCTTCTCAGGTCAACAATTGTTTACAGTATTATTTGTGTATATTATTTGGTTTATTACTTTTGGTTTATGTTAAAGTTGTTTGGTTTAATGAAAGGGCTGCTGTGGCCGTTAAAATCCATGTTGCGCAGTCCGAGTGTTTATTGGGGTTTTAACGGAGGGACGAAAATTGACGAATCCATCAGCCATGTGACAGGCAGTGTTTTTTCTGTCCGGACCGGACTGCGCTCGTGAGAACTGTAGCCCATAATACACATAGGTATACATTGGGATGCATTTTGGGTGCTTGATTGTGTACGGATCTGGTCCGGACAGAATACGGACGTCGTGTGAACAAGCCCTTAGCCCTCGTTCACACCTGAACGTTTTGTAGCGCGTTCTACGCTCGACGAACGCTCTACAAAACGCTCAAAAATATAAATCCCATTGTAGTCAATGGTCTCGTTCCCACGCCCACGCCTGAAAAGGTACAGGTACTACTTTGGGCCGTTTTGTTGCGCGTTTCCATTGGGATACAGCCAAGTAGCCTTCGTAAACGCGCAACTTTTTTACCGTAAAACGTGCAATACGCCTAGGTGTGAACGAGACCTTAGACATGTGCGATTCTTTTCTGAAAAATTTGTTTTTCGGACGAAGTTTAGTTATACGGAGATTCGGATGTATCCGAATTTCCAAATAACAGAAATGACGAATGAAAACGAATCCCAATTTCCGAAAATGAAATTTCCACGAAATTCGTTAGCGGTAGTCTGTACGGATTTTCGTTTGTGAACGGATTTTCGTTGCTGCAAAGTGACATTAAAAAAATACCATTTTGTTTAAAATGTCACTTTGCTATAACGAAACGAACACAAAACGAATATCCATACAGACTGCTGCTAACGAAAAGGTAAAAAAGGTACCCCTAAAATCCCTTAACAAACCCTTAACCCAGACAGCACCTGGCAGGGCAGGAAAGGGGGGGACGAGCGCCCCCCTCTCTCCACCATACCAGCAGGCCCGGCGCTACCATATAGGCAGGTCAAGCCCCCGCCGCCGACGGCTAAAATGATAAAGTAAAAGATAGTAAGATTAAAAAAAATAAAGAAATTAACAAATAATTAGAAAAAAAAATTATAACAGATAAAAAAGTGAAAGAGAATCAGGTAAAAATGCTCTTTCGCCTGTGTAGGCAAAAATCCTTGCACCCGGCCCTGCATACCAGGCCACATGCCCTCAGCATTGGAAGGGTGCATTTCCAGGGGGGACCACACCGGGTCTGTGTTGTGGGGGTCTGTGGGCAGAGGGCTCATCTGCATCTGGGTGCCCAGATGCCACCCCCTTGTGAATGAGTAGGGGGTACTCATTCACTAAAGGGTTAAATAAAATGTAAATAAAAACACAACACCTTAGAAAAAATTTGAACAAAAAGCAAAATACAAGTTTTTGACAGTTGCTTTATTTAAAATAAATTGTTAAAAATGCCCCACAAAGTCATTCCAGCGGAACACTGTTTTAAAAAAATAAAATGTTATTTCTGTGAACAGTTAGGGCTTGTTCACACCAATTGCGGTGCGTTCCAGAGCGGTAGCTGCTGGAACCCACTGCAATCTGTAAATGCGGAAGTGATGTGTCATCTGGCTGCTATAGCCATCAGCTTCTTTGGGGGCCCCAGGTGACATTAGGGGTCCTAGAGACCCCTAATGTCTCCATAAAGAGGACATGTCAGTGTGCCTTTGCTATTATATAGGGGGATTGTTATCCCCTCATGTAATAGCAATGACAATAAGAGTTAAAAAAATAAAGAAAAGTAAAAAGATAAAATAAAAGTCACACATAAAAAAAGTTAAAAAAAAATGTTTAAGTCCCCCACGTTTACGCAATTTACGTAAATACGCAATCAATGCGCCAGCGCGTGAAAACGACAATTGCGCTACACATGTTACATATCACCGAAAATGTCGCAGTGAGAGCAATCATTTCATGGCCATCAATCATTGATAACACTAAACTGATGAGCGGTAAAAGCTTTTAAAGTGTTGCCTATGGTTAATTTTGGGTATGGTAGTTTTTTGAGGTTTCACGCGTGTGCACAATTTTAAGGCTTGACATGTTTGGTGTCTTTTTACCCGACGTGACCCCAACTTTTATATTTTATAAAAAAATTGGGTAATAATAAATGTTTTATCATTTAATATAGGGGAAACAGTTTTTTTCCCCTATAATTTCTCCTTAAAATAGTAAAAAATAAAAGCCCCCGGTGGTGATTAAATACCACCAAAAGAAAGCTCTACCAGCCCCAAAAAATGGTATAAAATTCATTTCAGTACAGCGTTGCATGACGGAATAAATGTCAGTCAAAGTACCGCAGCGCTGAATACTGAAAAATGGCCTGGACAGGAAGGGGTTCTAAACACCGTGGACTTCAAGTGGTTAAGGATGGACATATTCATTGAAATAAATGTTTCATGCCCGTTATTTATAGTTGTTATTTCTGTAATATATTTGCTATTATTGAGATATTGGCTGGTTGTTAACATATTTGTTCTTTACAGCTCAAACCTGGAGGATCTGTTTGTAGGCCTGCAAAGGAAGAATGTGACATTGCAGATCTTTGTGACGGGAAGTCCATTACATGTGCAAACAACAGCTTTAGAATGAATGGATACCCCTGCATGGATGGGAAAGGGGCCTGCTACAAAGGAAGGTGCCCACTCATGAATGACCAGTGTGCTGCCATTTGGGGAGACCGTAAGTAGAATGTTACACATGGCCTATAATGAGTCACTACTAGTGCCGAGGCATTCCCCGGCCCTGCCCACCAGCCCCCTGAAGCGTCGCCCCCTTTTCACCAAAGCTCCACCCCGTCCAGCTGAAGCCCCACCCCAGTTCAGTAATCAAGCTATGTGGGGAGGAAGAAGGGAGGAGCCTCCCTGTCCCTCACTTGCTCATCACTGGTGAAGCATCGAGATCGATGTCATCACTGTTTTGCTTTTTTTTCTCGTGTTTTTTTTTATAGCTTGGACCAATGGCGCTTTGCCATTGGTCCAAGCTCAGCTGTCTACTACAATACCACATAGCATTCAGGAACTTCCGAATGCCTCACAGACCCGAATAGCATTCGGGAGTTCGAGAATGCTAAGTAGTGGTGTGAATGGGCCCTTAGTCCCTGTTGACACCTGTGTACACAGGTGTCAACACATTTTTCTCTATTAGTCCCATTGCCACTTGTGTGTTGTGCTGCCATACGTCTGTGAAAAATAGTACAGGTGCTTTTTTGGTGCATCAATGCTCCCTTTTGGCCTTACAGACTTAAATGGCAGCGCACAGGAGACTTCCTTGACTATATATGGTGCCGACTCCTATTGTTGTTGCTGTAATACAACTGTATTTCTCTATGAGTTGTTTTTTTGTTGTTCTCTTTATGGATTTTGTAACTATTTCTTGTTGTTAGTTTCTGCATCTTACTCGAAGTCCGATTACTGGTATCTTACACTTTATTTTGTTGTGTCGCAAAGAAAGAGAAAAAACGAAAATGTGTTTTACCTCTTTGGCAATGTTTATATTATATATTTTGTCACAATAAAAATTGATATGCAAAAAAAAAAACGCATCAAAAATACATTAAAAGACACAGGAAATTGCAGATGCAAAGATGTCTTTCTGGACTTTCTTAAAGGAGAACTATGAGGTGAGTGATTTTCAGCCGACCTGTGACAATGAAACTGTTACAGGTCGGCTCAGTAGATCGGGAAGTGAGCGAACACATACCGGCGCTCGCTCACTTCTCGATCCTGTCACTGCAGAGAGCCGTGACAGGGGAGGGGCTGGATTCCCCCCTCCCCGCTCCGATCCACCAGCGCTAACTGGCAGAATGGACGGGGGAGGGGGCGGGTACAGCTGGCTCTGCCTCTAGATAGGCAGAGTCAGCTATCACTCAGGCAGCTGGGTGGATCCAGACATAATTGTCGGGACCGTTTCAGCTGCGGCGTCTCAGTATACCGTGAGCTGTAGCTCGCGGTATACTGAGCTTTGGGTGACGGGAGGGCGCTAGTTTGTATCCTCCCATTATCCTTAGGAGAACTATGTGGAAAAGCCCTGACCCCATAGTTCTCCTTTAAATACAGCTAAAATTTATTTTTTTATGTTTTATTTTATTGCTTCATATTGTGCATGAAATAGATGCTCTCATATTATTTATTTTCTCTTTAGAGGCTACAGTTGCTTCTGATTACTGCTTTGACATTAATACTAAAGGAAACCACATGGGGTACTGTAGGAAACAAGGAGATACGTACATTGCATGTGAAAATAAGTAAGTACCAGGTAACCTCTCATAGAGAGCAAAGTGGTTTTACTAATCATCAGTTTACTCTGTTCTTCCTTACTGGTGGGGGGTGCTTGATATACATTATATCAGGGGTCAGTTCACCTGCTTGTCTTTCTGCAGGGAGGAGGCGAGCAGGCAGATCCCTGGCTATCTAGTGTGATTAGTAAGGTCTGCAGACCTTACTAATCACTTGGTTTTCGACCCGGAGCTCAGTGAAGAGCTCCGGCCGAAAGGAAGGAAAACAGACTCCTTCCTCACCTCCATTTAGGATGTCGAGGGGGACTGCACCCTCCATTCCCCAGGGATGTCAGATAGGGCGGACGGCCAGGTCTTTACCCCAGCCTGGTAAGGCAACCAACACTACTCCCTCTCAGAATGTAGAGGAGGAAAAGAAAGGAACACTGGATGCTGCTGGGCGGGTCATTTTTATGAGTTAAGAGCCTATCAGATTGGTAGGGAGGTGGAGCCGTCCCATTTGTGTGCTGCCATGGAGCGGTCAGAGAAAATAGACATGCAAGGACAGTGCCGAACTAGCCATGCATTTTTAATCTCAAAGTTAATTTTCAGGTCAATGTGATGAATTTCAATAAACGCTGAAAACATGGATTGACAAATCTGGGAATAAATTGGGGAATATCAAATTGTACCGGTGAAAAAAAAAAAAACCCATCAATTACACCTTTTGTAATTAGAGTTAAAAAGAGCCAACGGGGGAACAAAAGTTGTCTGAAAAATATTGAACTAATTAATTCACCCTTTTACAGCCCTCATTGTGAATTTTAAGCATCCTGAGTTTTACTTATTTGAGCAATAGCATAAAGTTTCCCAGCACACTTACCAGCCAGCATGCAAAAAAACTTTTCTCACCGCTAAGGTTAAAAACAGAGGTTTAGATGGACATCTTCTGCAGAAAATGTGAAAGCCGCACAGCCGCGCCAAGGCACCTCTATATAGTGCGGTCCTAACTCTAAACTATGAGAGTCTCTATCTGGTAGCACATGGGACAAAAGATTAAATTGGGTGCAGGTTTGTCAGGAGGAAGCCCAACCTCCCTTAAAGGCACAGGTACGCACAAGGGACCCCGCACATCACAATGACAGCTGAGACCCCCCTATGCGTCACTGCACCAAATCTGTTTTTAACCTTAGCGGTGAGACAAATTTTTTTGCATGCTGGCTGGTGAGTGTGCTGGAAAAGGTTTTGCTATTACTGTTTAAAGCCCTTCCATGTGCACATTGCTGTAAAGCTGGTAACAAATTGATTAGTGCGTTTGCCATTTGTTTTGCTCGACTGATTTGAGTGGTTCAGGCCACTTTGGTTTAATCTGTTAAAGGCTAAAACTAGGGATGCACCGATACTTTTCAAATGCCAGTGCCGATACTTGGCATTGTCACAAGAACTACCAGGGTTGCAGCGGTTGCAGCTGGGACCTGGCTCTGGCACTCCAACACTGTCCTGAAATCATTAGTCTTGACTGATGGATTCATCAATTTTCGTCCCTCTGTTAAACCCCAATAAACACACTTTAGAATTAGAACCTTCAGGGCCCCGGTGCAAGAAACCATTGCCATGGCACCATGTGGTTAACAGGAAGGCTGCCGAGGTCCCAAGCAAGCGCGGGACCTCAGGCAGCTGCTTCAGTTTAAAAATGTAGTGCCGGTGTTCTGTGGAGAACGCCGACCCAGTATCTGCGTTTGCGCACAGACTAGATTAACGAGGAAACAGGCATGACTGATGGATTCGTCAATTTTCGTACCTCCGTTAAAACCCCAATAAACACACGGACTGCGCAACATATATTTTAACGGCCACATCAGCCCTTTTATTAAACCAAACAACAACAATAACCAAAAGTAATAAACCAAATAATATACACAAATAATACTGTAAACAATTGTTGACCTGAGAAGGGGTCTTTGGGTGCCCAACAGCCCAAAAAGGCCTCTCCTAACACTCCACCCATGTCCCCAGCTGCACCACAACCAGCTCGAGGACACTTACTACTTCCAGGTTCCCAAGGGGCCAGGCCCCGCCCCTTACAAGTCTGGACACCAACAGGGGGAAGCACCCATACCAGCTGATGGCCCCCCATTGTTTGTAATCAACTCCGATTTTGTAGACCCCCTAACCCGCCAAGCTGCCGTGACAAAAGAACCCCACAACCCCCAGAACTACAAAATTCAGGGAGGGAGGGTGGGACAACCTACTTCCTTCGTCGATTTCCAGAAAAAGGACGTCCCTCAGCCCCTGCAGTTCCTTCCCATGCGGCTCCTCCCGGACACCTGACTCCCATGTCCAATCAGTCAAGAGCAGCTATTCCCATTTTGCTTTTTAACTCTTTCTCCCGGGACTATTCCTCCCCCCAGTCATGTAGACCCTCCGCCCAGTCTCTCCGGGTCTGTCTGTATTGTTTTAGAAAAACTGTCGCATGACAATAAACAAAAATGTATCAGTACTTGTACTTTGAAAAATGGTATTGGTGTGTCACTGGATTTTTATAAAAACAAAATCATACAATAAAACAAAGATGTACAAATCCCAGGAGCTCCGCGTGCTCCTTACAAATGACAGCGGCCTAACTTTTTTTCTAACTTTTGAATTTTTCTCTAGTCTAGTCTTGGAGCTTGAAACGTATCTGTACTTATACCGAGTACAGTACTTGGTATCGGTGCATCCCTAGCTAAAACCTCATTGTGCAAAATAGTAGTCCATGCCGCAACATTGATCTAATGAGCATTGTGAATTTGCTGTATTAATAGCCCACATATAATTGCGCCGGCAAGCTATGCTTTGCGAGTGCAATGTATTCCTTCAGCCTCGGGTCCTTACAGAGGTACCAATCCACTGTTTAGGAGGCTGAAGGAAGTGCGGTTGAACTACAGCTTGAAGAGGGAGATGGGATCCCTGGCGGACTCTGCAATAGTCCCTCTGCCATCATGTCATATGGGACTTGTAGCTTTTTCCATTGAGACCTTGATAACATTGGTTTTTGGAAAATGTATGTGACCATTCTTCATGTTACACTGTAAATATGGGTCATATAATGTATATATAATATTACAATACAGTATATGGGTAATATATGGTCTAAGGCTGGGTTCACACCTGGGCGTTTTTCAGCGCTGATCGAATCGCTGAAAAACGCTCAAGAAGTGGAATCCAATCAATCCCTAAGTAAGGCCTGGAGCTATGGATAGCAGAGGAATGAGCGGAAGGCCTGCATGACAAGGCTGGGAAGGGGAACAAGAATAGGAAAGGTTTAAGGAGAGATAGAAAAGGTTATAGATGGGTCACTTACGTGATTGGATGTGGGGGGTCGTCCAGGAGGGGCTTCAGGAAGTTTAGCCAGGAAGGAGGAGTCCGGAAGTTCAGTTGGGAGTCCGGCAACAGAGGAAGAACTTCCCACCCACCAGCCCCATAGGAGGTGGTTTGTGTTTAGGGGTATTTGTCACAGCTAGGGATTGCGGTTTGGATCCTTGGAGGCAGTAGTTAGTGGTTACATATCTGCACGGGGGACCCATCCGTGGTATGGGTGTCCTCCAGTAGTCGGACGGTCAGATTGGTATGACCGGTGAATAGGGGACCAACGTGGGTCTGCGGGCAATCTAGTTACGTCCCCGAGGCGGTGTATGGCGGCTGGGGGGCATTCAGTTACAGGAAAGCTGACCGCAGATACTGGTCCATTTCTAGAGTAGGATTGCCTTCAAGGACCTTGAAACCAAACAAGTTGATACAGTGTGTTTTGGTTTGTTGATATTGTTATTTATAAGTATTTATAATAAAAGGCTGCTGTGGCCATTTAAACTCCCGCTGTTGTGTGGCGTAGTTATTGGTAACAGGGAAGGGGGGTTTGAAGGGAGGTGGGTACTGGAAAGGGACCTCTGAGCTACCCGAGTCATGGGCACGGTTCCCACCTGAGTTTTTTTTCAGAGCGATTAGTCGCGCTGAAAAACGCCCTACGCACGAAAAGGTACTTGAGCAGCGCGTATCCATTGGTATTCCCGAGTGTGGCTCGGGGTTAACAGAGCGGTAACCCCGAGCCAAACTCGGGAATACATCGTAGGCCTTACCTTGTCTGCGATCCCCGCTTTGTCCTCCGGCCGCTGCCGTCTTCCAGGTCCTGTCCCTTGCGAGCGTCCGCATTTGAAAGTTTAAAAAAAATTTAAAAACCTGAAAAAAAGAATAAGGAAAAAAAGGAAAAGAAAAAAAAAATCATACCGCCAGGGAGGTATAAAAACGAGCGTCGAATGCGCGTTTCACTGAACTAAAAAACGTGCTAAAAACAAGCTGAAAAGGCGCCTATAGTAACGGCCAGGTGTGAACCCGGCCTAAAAAGTAGATTTAGCCTTTAAAGCTCCAGATCTGCACATGTAATGTCTCTAATACAGGCGGCTTTGCCCATTATTGAAAGACACATCATAATACTATGCTTTGCATGCAGAGATAAGAAGTGCGGAGTTCTGTACTGCGTTGGAGGTCAAAACGTTCCGAGATTTAGTGGAGTCACAATCACATTTGGTACATGTAAAACTCTTCTGTACGAAGGTGGACTGGTCAACAGTGGAACAAAATGCAACGATATAGAAGTAAGTTCATATATATAAATTGTTAATAATTAGCAATAGATCAAAAAGGTCACCAACCATGCAGCATATTATTGTAAAATGTGTTATGTTGTTTATACCCTCATTATACCTGCCTCATTCCCAGGCCCGGATTCCCCACAAGGCCAAAGAGGCCCGGCGGCAGGGCGCAGAGGGGCGGCAGCGGTGTCCTTGTGGGGAAGTTGCGGCCGTCGGGCGGTAAGTTGCCCTCTCTACATTTAGTCCTGCTTTGCACAAGCAGGACTAAATGTAGTGTGAGGCAGCCCACTGTTTGTTTACATGTGATCTCAGCGCTGTCGCCGAGATCACATGTAAAAAGTCTGCAGCCTGTCCCCCTCCCCCTTGCACTTACCTCTCTCCTCGCTGTCACCATCCTCCGGGCTCCGGCGCCGAGTCTCTCCTCACTGCAGTGAGCATAGCGGCAGGTTTAAAACTAACCCTGCCGCTCCGTGTACACATGGAGACGGCGGAGCAATGCTCTTCCTCTCTCCCCTTTCACAGGAGTTCCAGCACAGTGCTGTGCTAGAACTCTTGTATTGGAGGTGACAGGGTCAATAAAGAGAACCTGTCACCTCCAATTGCTATCACACAGGCTATTGTTTTCTCCTGTGTGATAGCAATAAAGTTAGATGAAAAAAAATATTTAATTGATTTAAAAAAAATAAAAAATAAAAATGTTTTTAACAAATAAATAAATAATTTAATACACTGATTCTCCTATTCTTAAACAGGGTTGAGTGAAATTTTGGTGAAATGCATTGAAATCTTCTCAAAAACATTTTCTGTTCATTCTGTCCCCTGGGAACAAAGTGCATGTAGCACTTTGTCCTGTTTTGATAGGTGCTGTGGATACTAAGCTAGCATGGTCCATAGAGACCCACCCCCCCTACCCCAGTCGCTGTTCGACCACGCTGCTCAGTAAAGGTGCCCATACACCTTACAACCATCGCAAGACTTTTGTCTTGCGATGGTTGTAAGCTAATTAAAAGCTTGTACGATCTGCCCATCTTGGACAGGCAGACCGCACTTGCGATCATTGAAAGCCCGCCCCCCTGAGGGGCGGGCTTCCGATGACTGCAATGCTGAAAAGCCAAAATATCAATTTTTGGCTAGAAAACAGCTTGAAACCCCCCCAAACAATGATATATGTTCTGAAAGCAGAGGCCTTGTAGAATAAAAAAAATAGTTACAATTTTTCATGTCGTCATGATTTTTGCGCAAATGTTTATCAAACCAGTATTTTTAGGAAAAAATAAATTCAATAAAAATTTAGTGCACAGAAATATAATACCCAATTTTTTGTTAAAATATAAAAGACGGGGTCGCGTCGGTTAAATAAATACCAAACATGTCAAGCCTTAAAATTGTGAAACCGTGGAAAAACTACAATACCCCAAATTTACCAATGATCAAAGGGGCCCCATACAAAATTTTGCTATGGGGCCCTGTGATTTCTAGTTACCCCTGTGATGGGGAGGGTAATGTTTATTCTAATTAAACCTGTCTCTACTGTGCTGCAGATCTTATTATCAGTTGTAAACATACAGGGTTATTCACAGCAGGGTGAAGAGTTTGGGGAAGGCAGGAGAAGAACAATCTAGGCCAAAATAGCTGATTTGGAAAAATTCTCCAATTCAGCTCACTTTCCAGTTTAGCTATGTTGTCCTAGACCAGTGGTGGCGAACCTTTGCACTCCCGCTGTGCCCAAACTACAAATCCCAAGATGCATCTGCCTCTGGGAGTTATGTCTGTGGCTGTCAGAGCCTTGCAATGCCTCATGGGACTTGTAGTTCCAAAACAGCTGGAGTGCCAAGGTTCGCCATCACTGTCCTAGACTGTTCACTTCTCCGGCCTTCTCCAAACTCTTCAGTCTTTTGTGAATACCATCTAGATTTGAACACCATCTGTCCTAACAAAGGGTTAGGCCCCTTTCACATGGACTTTCCGATCAGGTCTGTATGTCAGCTTTTCAGGAGTTCAGTTTTGGGGGACCTGATCGTGATGGAAGAGAGGTAATCTGATGTATACGGAACATGGCCACCATCCGACTTCCCTTAGATCTATCAACATAGAAGTGTTGTTGGATATATGGATAAAACTGTGGCACCGCACCCCAGTGAACAACAATATCCAAAAAAGCAGTTATGGGTAGTTTTAGTGCAGTGGTTCTCAACCTGTGTAATCTCAGGACCCACATTTGTCCATGGTCATTCAGTCACGACCCAAGTCCCACTGCAATGGAATGTATGGGAACTGGAGTGGATCCTCAGCCTGGGGTCCAGTGTGGGCTGCTGTGCTGTAACAGAGCTCCATCCATACATGCATTGTACGCTTGTACGGCTCTCTTGCGTGCCCTGTAGAGGTGCCGAGAGCCAGAATGTGATGTCACTCCGGTCCAGGCACCTCTATAAGACACAGCTCTGAGGAAGCCCCGTGTGATTGGGGGGAAACGCGTCAGGGTAACGTGTGTGAAAGCTTCCCTGGATACCCGCAGCAGACTCTCTTACTTTCCACACGCGGCCAGTGAGAGTGAAAACTACATTGTTTTTCAATCAAAGGGACGGAACCAAGACGGCCTGGACACTGTCTGGTCTGCAGCAGCTGAATAGCCTGTACAATTTAGGCTGAGATCGAGAAGTGCGAGCGGGCTGTTGCCACTCGATCTCCTTCAGCTTTCGGCTTTGCCACATTACGGACACACCGCCGTGGGGATTCTAACATATTTTATCTTACCGTGCGGCCGCACAAGCCTGAAACCACCTCGGATTTTTCCTCCACGGATTGGAAATTGAACCCCGCGGGCGAGTGTAAGCATCGACCAGTGGGCGGAGAGACATCCCCAAGATCTCTGGCATTTACAAAAAGGAGCTGGATTCTCTGGAATTGCTACGTGCAGTCATGCTCCATTGAGAATTATACATCAGCACAGGATCCTACGAGGGTTGTCCCCCACTTTGAACCACAAACGATGTGAGTAAGCTCCGATACAAAGTATCCACCTTTGATTTTGGCCATTGTGCTTGCACCAGTGACTATCTGCCGCTCAGATTATCACCCATACCGGGTTATCCTAAGGGAAGTCATTTTAATTGCTTTTAAATGTCTTGTTGTAGGTGTTCTTACTGGTTATTTTGTTACTATTAAATATTGTCATTTACAAATACTTCATATGTGTAAACCTGTTTACTAGACCAGCTCCAATTAGGGATTTCTTTGTACAGGGGATTTTCTAGTGTTGCACAGGTTATCAATAATAATACTCTATTTGTGGGTATATTGTGTGTGGCATACTATATTTCTTCCTTTATTTATATGTCTCCTATTTCAGGTGTGTTCTAATGGGAAATGTTCCAATATGGAGAATACCTACAAGACAGCAGGCTGTGTGTGCCCAGCAAATTCGGTGAGACTTTGCTGCTCCAGAAACTATAAAAAATATATATATTTTTTTTTAGACTTATTCATTTTTATAAAATATTTTTATTTTTTACTTTACTTTTAGGGGCTTCAGGGACATATTAGGGATCTAAACAAACCCCTGATATTTCCCTTTTAAAATAAAAAAAGAGATAGAAAACACAAAGTCCTGAGACACACAGAGTCCTCAATCTCTTTTTCTGTATCCCCTGTTATCAATGAACAGGAATCCTCTATACTGAGTGCTCCTGTTCATTCATAACATGAGGACAGAGTATGTTTACTATAACCACAATCATGAATGAACAGGAGGTGATGTAGATAACTTCCCAATCATTCATAATTGAGGAGATAGTAATCATACTCTGTCCTCAATTATCTACAAACACTCAGTGATCACTGAGTGTTTGTACCTCGCTCTCCTCTCTGACACGCTGTCACAGGAGGCTGAGCAAGGGGAGCAGGGAGGGGAGCCCAGCCTCCTGTGACAGCGCGTGCTGTCTCCGCCCCAACACCGCTCTGCCGGACTGTGATAGTCAGGTGAGCGGTGTGGGAGGAGAGACACCGGCCGCTCACAGCGCTCTCCTCCCGCAGCGCTCGGCCAGCTGTCCCTTTCTCTCTTCCCCGCTGGGACACGGAGCAGTGCCCAGCGGGGAGGAAAGAAACCTGGGATGCGCCGATGTATCGGCAGGAAAATGGCGCTTTCGACATTTAGCCAAAAGTGCCATTTTTGGCTGATATGTTTCGGCGGCCGATATATCGGTGCATCCCTAATATTTACTTTATTCACCACTTCCTCCATATATCTGACCGACCCTGTGAAGCTTCCTCTCCATGGGGATTCTGGCTGCAATTACACCACTGCCTCCTCCACATACAATGCAGAGCTAACAGCCCTGCATTGTATGTGATACCAGGGCAACACCCACAGCTCAGAGATTCAGGCCGAAGAGAGTGCCAGAGCAGGGGTTAAGCTAAGTAATACAGTCTCTTTATTTTCCCTTTAGACTTAAAAGAGAACTATGGGTAAGTGTTTTCCCCATAGTTCTCTTTAGGGTCACAGGAGGACATATACTAACCTCCTCCCGTGACCCAAAGCTCAGTATATAGCGGGCTATTGCTGAGAGCACCGCAGCCAGGATGGATCCCAACAATACTGTCTGGATCCACCCAGCTGCGTGAGTGACAGCTGGCTCTGCCGATCTAGAGGCAGAGCCAGCTGTGCCTGCCCACACCCCCGTCCGTTCCTCCACACAGCGCTGGAGGATCGGAGAGAGGAATCCCTATGGGGAGTGGTGACTGACAGTCACGGCTCTCTGCATGGAGATGATCGGAAAGTGAGCGAGCGACGGTATGTGTTCGCTCACTTCCCAATCTATTGAGCCGACCTGTGACAGTTTCATTGTCATATCTGTGAGGATGAGTGGAAATGACTCACCTCATAGTTCTCCTTTAAAGGGCATTTAACCCTTCCAGCATGAATATACCCCACTGCAAGGGTTTATTTTCCAACTGTGATTTCAGCTTGAACTCCAGCCTTACCTTTTTTTCACTTGTAGCAAAGTCTTCTCCGATCATAAAATGGATAACTCCCAATTCCTTGCAAACTCGCATGTCAACAATATTACCCTTTGAAGCTGTAGCAGCTGTCTTCATCCCGTCTTTATTTCTAGTCCTAACTACTTCCATCATGATCAATCCTCTCTCCTTCTGATCCATACTGTTGTTGCCTGCCTCTAACAGCTATTAGCTTTCTCTGCCATCAATCACTTTGTTCCTGAGCATTATATGAAAGAACACATTCCTATCATCACATTATATGTGCTGCTCAAGCAACAGATCAGCAGACTGGAAAACTAAAGTCTACAGCACCCAGTAGCGAGCAGGGAGAAGCAGGCACATCTAAAGGGACGTGTTCTCTCATTTAAAAGAGAACTAAAGCCAAATCTTTGTTTTGGCTTTAGTCCTCTTTTGGGTCAAAGAAGTATATTTACTAATGTATTCCTGTGACCCAAAGTCAACATTTGACAGGCAACTGCCCGCTATTTGCTGACAGCACAGAGCCGTGCTGCAGCTAGAAAAGATCCCTGTCTGTCCTTCAATGAGTCACCACTCTCTGCAGGGAGAATACCGTGAGCTGAGTGATCAGAGGTTCGTGATCACTCAATTCTCGATCTATAGATCCGGCATGTGACACTTGGCTCTAAGTATTTGGAAGAGTACATTTTACTCTCCCAATAATTCTCCTTTAATGCTCTTGAAATAACATCCAAAGCAGGTTGCTGTGGTGGTTACAGGAGCCTTCTGCCAGCTCTCCCCCCACCAAAGAAACTTGGAGCAAAGACCAGCAGAAAGACCCTCAAAAGAGGTATTTTTTAATTGATTGAAACATTTTGTGTAGGGGGGAAAACAAGGAGGTATTACTGTACATGTGTACATTAAATGAGCTTTAAATATGTATTCTATTGATTCCTTTACAATTTCCAGTTTTGGTTTCTACATTTTTCATGATTCCTCACATCAGATTCTTCTTGTGACATTTGGCCAGTAATAGTACACAGTCTGACCTGGTAGGCAGTAGTACAATTGACTAATTTCCAAATCTTAGGAATCAAAAGGGTTGAGCCTTCACCAAGACTTGTATATGGAACTTACTGCTAGTCAGGGCCGGATTTCCCACAAGGCCTGGCCTTGGGGCAGCACGGAGTAGAGGGGCAGCAGGGGTGTGGTATTCCTATCTCCTGATGCTTGGGACATGCAGTTCCAGGCACCGAGTGGGTAGTTGTTTTCTACATTTAGCCCTCCTTTGGGAAAGCAGAGCTAAATGTACAGCGGGGAAGCCACCGCTTGATTTGTACAAGTGATCTTGGTAATGTCGCCGAGATCACTTGTATGCAGCCAGCAGATC